CATGTTGTCAGCCACTCAAAATTGTCAAATTGTTAACACTGACAAATTGATCAATTCACCCTCCTTGTTTTTACCATGGTTTTGTTGTCAATCATTTCAAAAACAGATAACATGTTGTTGCCATGGGTTTAGCAGAAAAACAGGTATAAAATAACCTTTGGCCAGCATGCAAACAAGTTAACATGATTTGCAAAACATATTGGATGTTTTTCTCTTTTATTTTTGCATGATTTTCCCCTCATTTATTTGATTGATTTTATACTTATTTTGGGTGAAAAACATGGTTCAAATATGGTAAATGTTTCTGGCATGTTTTGTTGCCTGTTTTGGCCAAAATCATTGTCTAATGCCCCCAGTGTCTTTTTCAGATGACTTCCAAAAATATCTACTCAAATGCAGTCAAAGGTGCGTCCGATTTTATTATTGCTTCAAACCACCCCGGGCCTGCCAGGACCTCTACCTCGGGCGACGCGATGGAAATGCTGCACCCCGAGAAGGACTCGTCGAATTCAGTGACTCGAGTCGGGCGTCTTACGGATGCCCCTGTGCCCATCCGTCCCCGATCCCGTCTCGACACTATTGCCGAGTGCGATGATACCCCGGGCGTAACCAAAAAGAGCTTGCCGTTAACAGCTGGAGCGGCCCCAGAAGATGCCAATGAGCGCAGGGGCCAAGATATCCCTCGAGACGAGTGAGGCTACAGGCCGCCGTCACCGACAAAAATCGGTCGATAAGGTACCTGCGCAAGCACGCAGCGCCATTGACGCCGAAGGGTTCAAGACCCCTCGCCAAGTAACCAGAGCAAGTAACCCGAGGCTAAAGAGCCCGGGCATCGCTGATGGAAATTGCTTCCCACATGGACCGTGGGGCGACAGCGATATGGAGGCCAATGACGCCGATGATGAGCACGCCGGCGAAAATGATAATGATTTTTCTGATAACCCCGATAACATACCGCAAGAGCGTGATGAGCCCACCATTAGGCACAAGGGACCTAAGACCCCAGGTTTTGACCTGCCAGGGGCACCCATTGACGAATCTACCCCGGGTGCACCCCGGGTAGGTGACACCAAAGGAAAGGCAAGGGCCGAGCCCAATCTTTACTATAAGAACATAGATCATGTCTCGAAATTATATGGCATGAACATCGACAGGCTGCTGAAGGAAAATGACAGCTTACAAGAATCCAATACAGTCCTGAACTGAAGGCTAGAATGCCTTGAGAATGCTTTCATCAGTTTGTTGCTGAAGGCACCCGAGAAAGCGCGTGTTGAGATGTCTGCCGCAGCAAAGCAGGACAATACCAGTAAAGGAAAGGACACTGCCGGAGAAACAAAGGCCAGCCAGCCAGCCTCACGACAAAACGGTAAACCAGCTCAAGCTCCACTCCCAAGGGGGAGCTCCGTAATGAGAGTGATCCGGGGTGATGACCAACCCGGCAACTCATCGAGCGATTCGAGCAGCTTGGATGATGACCGTGGACATAACAATAATGGCAAGTCTCCAGCTAAACGGGGTGCAAAGAAGCCTCCTGAATCAGATGATGACAACTCTAAATTGTCCGATGGCTCCGATTCCACCAACATATTTGAGAAAGGGCTAGAATCAGATCACGACAGCGACTTGCCTGAAGAAAAGCGACGCAAAGCTAAAGCACGCCGCAAGCGCCGGGCACGCATTGAAAAGCTTAAATATCAGCAGGCATTGATAAAAGAAGTGCCACCATTCACGTATCATGGTGAACTGTCCGCCGCTAAGTTCAAACGCTGGTCGCGCAAAATGCACAACTACAAACATCGTGGTTATTTCTCAAACAAGGACATTGTGCAGCATGCTAGCAAATTCTTGAGCGACCGTGCATACAAATTCTGGGAATGCGATGTTTGTGAGCTTAAAAAGTGTTACACACTTAAAGAATTCCTGGAGAAGCTTTTTGAATACATATTCCCAACCAACTTCCATATGCAACAGAGAGACAAATTTGATCAGTGTGCTCAAGAGGGACACCCAATCAAGGATTTCATTCAAAGGCTACAAGATCTGGCTGATACTATAGGTGATGACATCACTGAACGCAATGTGGTAATCGCATGTTGGAGACGTTGCAACTCATGCCTGCGAGCGGACCTCACAAGGGACAGGTATGATCTGATGACTATGACGTTAGACAAATTTGAAACCCAAGGTGAAGTGCTCGAGCTTTCCTATCGGGCTGAAATGGAAGAGATGAGGGGATTAAGCACACCTTACCAGACCAGAGGACATGCACCCCGGAACTTCGCCCAACCATGAACATATCATCAAGGCAGAGACCACCAACAATCCTTCCCCTCTCACTTGATGCGCTCGAACACCGTAAGCCCAGACGAGAAGCGCAACACTCTGCCACCATATCCAATGAACAATGGCAGCTCAAGTGGCCCTAGCCAAAATGGTTTTCGGGGCTCTAACTGTGGTTGTGGACAACCACAACCTCGGAGCTTTGCACTGCCTCATGGAACTCGCCATGATACATGGCAGGAACGGACTGGTGAGAAGCCCCCGTGCTTCACTTGCCAACAGCCCGGCCACTTCTTCAGGGACTGCCCAATGCGTCGTCAACTACGACTGCCGCCCGCTGTTGGTGTAGGCTCAATTGGGATGAGTGCGGCAGAAGTCCATCTCTCGGCGTTACAGGAAGGCCACGATCTTGGTCTATACGGCATAGGTACATCTCCTGAATTTTGTGAACTCACCGAAGCTAAATTGCTTGTCGCCAGGTCCCGCATTGTAGCCCAATTATACGATGCAGTACTGCTACCTCTCGACAATGAATCTGACCGTGAGCAGTTGCCATATATGAAGGAACACTTTGACTTATCAGAGATGGATGAGGAACACTGTTACCTGATAGATCGCCATGCTCGAGAATCATATGTTGTAGATTACTCACTTATTCTATCGGACACCTTCAATGTGGTGCACTGGCTAAACACTGAATGTGCAAACTCTTATCTCTGTGAGGATGAGGGTGAAGAAATCACTTCCCTGGACCAGTTGTACGCATCCGTCCTTGAAACAGCCAATACCTCTGAAGAACCCGAAGTTGAGAGTGTCAGTGACTACCTGAAATGTTGCTCTAACCAGTATAATGAATACACATTGGACCCTGGGTCCCTGGTAGACCCTATACCATCAAAAATGGGCAATCCAAACGATCCCTTTGACCCCGGTTGGGTAGAATGGGTCCCAGGGCATAGCGCTGAAATAGATGAATTTATAAACAACATAATGCACCTTGAGAGCAACCCTACTCGCACAACCAAGACGAATGCTGAAACAAGTGTGCTGACGGCTGGGCATGCAAACGAGTCCAGAGCCTCCGACAAAATGAGCGTGTTTGCAATCAACGCTGCGAACGCTCCGGGCAAACCTGCTGAAACAAGGTATTTAGAGCAAATGGCGGCGTGCGTAAAGGAGTGCGGTCGCGTACTGCCACGTCCAATTGTTGTAGCTGTGCATATCAGTGGAAAGTCCTGCTGAGCACTCATTGACAGTGGATCGTTGTCCGATTTTATTTCTACAACAGTTGTAGATCAGCTGAAGCTCAAAACTAAGGAATTGGACGTACCTTTAAATCTTCAACTGGCTGTGTCAGGTTCTCGGAGCAAAGTCAAATACTCTGTGTCCCCACTGTCCGAGTACCAGATCATAAAAGAGACTTGGACTTTTGACGTTGCTAACCTGGACTCATATGACATGATTTTGGGAATGCCATTCCTGTTTCAGCACCAAGTACTGCTAGGCTTCAATCCGAGTCAGGTGAACGTGCGCAGCACTACGTCATTACCAGTTCAAGGCACCCAAACAATCACCTTAGCGTCCCGAGCAGCAGAACTGCAGAATGATCGAATCGAGTCAATGCAGCACAATATCATGAAGTATGCTGAGGAAATATGCAAAGAGGCCAAAGACATGCCTCTGCCGCCACTTCTTGAGATGAACCATTGGATTCCACTAATTGATCCGTCAAAGAAAATCCCCTGGCAGGCATCTTGTTGCCCTGAATGTCTTCACCCACAGTGGATCAAAAAGCGCGATCCGTACATAGTGTCTGGACGGTGGAAATTCTTTAATGGCCCTAACGTGTCATCGCTGCTAATATTGGTAAAGAAATCCAAAGATGGTGAAGTTCGCATACGCACTGTCATTGACACTTGTTGGCGTAATTCCAATACGAAGAAACTAGCTTCACCCCTCCCGGACATTGAGACCATTCTTCAGAAGGTTGCCAGCCATAAATATAGGTCTTTGATGGATGGCAAAGATGCTTATGAGCAGATACAGATTGAACCAGCAGACGTGCAGAATTCCCTGTTTAACACCCCGGACGGAACGATGGTCAGCGAGGTAATGCAAATTGGTGATTGCAATGTTGGTGCAACATACCAGACAATCATGAATCAGATCTTTGCGCCATTTCTTGGAATTTTCATGTATGTATACTTGGATGATATTGTCATTTTCTCAGACAGCGCCGGAGAGCATGCCAAACACCTGAAGATTGTGATAGACACCCTCAGGCAGCACAAGTTCTACCTTAGTGCTCATAAAATGCAACTCTTCGCTGATGAACTGGAAATCCTAGGCCATGTAGTTGATGACGATGGTATCAGGATGGATCCTCACAAGGTGGATAAGATTTCAAACTGGAAGACACCCACAAACAAAGGACTGCTCAGCTCATTCCTAGGAGCGGTCGGATACTTAGCACCTGGGTGTGAGGGAATTCAAATTCATATGGGGCACTTGCACGCTTGAGCTGCCGCAACTTTGCCCTGGCGTTGGACGCCGACAGAGCAACGCACTTTCAATACTGTGAAAGAAATTGCGCACAAATGGCGCAATGTGCGACGGAAACCAATTGATAACTCGCCGGGTGCTGTCCCACTCCTTCTCGCAATGGATGCGAGCCTTACCGGCGGGAGTGGTGTCCTACTTCAAGGCAGAACCCTTGAAAGCACACACATTATCGCTTTCTGGTCTGCAAAGTTTATGCCGATGCAGCAGAATTATCGGGTACATGAATTAGAACTGCTTGCTATCGTTGAATCACTGAAGCAATTTGCTCACCTCTTGCATGGCTGGAAATTTAGGATATTAACTGACCACAAGGGCCTGGAGTGGATTAAAACCCAGGCAAACTTGTCGCCTCATCAGGCGCGCTGGTTAGAGACGCTGGAGGACTTTGACTATGATATGAGCATATCCCTGGTAAAAAGAACATTCTTGCAGATGCGCTGTCACGCTTGTATAGTGATGACCCCAAAGGTACGGTCCGCGCAGTGTCCGAGTACGTGCAGGCCAACAATGAAGGTTGGCCTTCGGCCTTGCTTCTGAACCTGGTCTCAAACCCGTTATATGTGGGTAACAAAATCTTCCTGGGCGCATCGGGCGCCGCTGCTTCAGCACGCAACACGTTCCCAAATGCTCGTCGAGTCCGGCTGACAGTGTGAGCACCAGGCAATGAGGACGTGGTGCATTCGCTGCACACGCCATGCGTTGGGCCGCCCAAAATTGACAATGACCTTGATGCTTCTACGCCTCTGAGCGGTGGTCAACCGCTGGAGGGCGAGGGTGATATAAACAGTGGTTCACCTCCGCATACTACACCAAGCACAACAGGCGCCACAGATAGTGAATCAAACTCTGCAATGCCACATGTGAGCTCATCAGATCTAGTAGAAGTGATCAGCCAGAGCAATCCAGAAAATAACATAGAGAATGATATACATCACCAGTATGGCCAAGACGCGTTTTTTGCGCCAATCGTAGAAAACCCAGCCCACTTCAAAAACTTCGAAGTTAACAACGGCCTCATATTCATGAAGGACAACGGATCATGCACGCTGTGCATCCCAGACGTGCAAGCAAGATCTGGATCCCAAATCCGTGAAATAGTCATTGACCAAGCACACTCAATCATTGGACACTTAGCTGGCACCAAAACGCTTGCCTACCTCAGAGAGAACATGTGGTGGAAAAACCTACGAGCAGACATCTACCAATACTGTGAATCATGCCAACTCTGTCAGAGAAACAAAAGTAGAAACCACGCACCATACGGAAAGCTCAAAACACTCGACGTGCCAACTTATCCTTGGGAAACAATTGGTATTGATTTTGTCGGGCCTCTACCCGAATCCAAGACAGTGAATGGCACTTATGACATGCTACTTGTGGCAATTGACCATCTAACATCCATGGTTCACCTTATCCCCACAAAACAGACACATACCGCCAAGGACATTGCTTTCCTCATGTTCAATAATATATATAAACTGCATGGTATGCCCAGGAACATTGTAAGCGACCGAGATTTGCTGTTCACCAGCGCTTTCTGGCGTGAACTAAATAAACTGGCTGGTGTTGACTTGAGAATGTCATCTGCATATCATCCCCAGTCAGATGGTGCCACGGAGCGAGCAAACTGTACTATCACTCAAATGCTTCGCATGTGTGTAAAGCCAGATCAAAAGGACTGGGCCAGTAAACTTGCAGAAGTCGAATTTGCCATCAATTCAGTTCGATCTGAAACTACAGGGTATGCCCCATTCACACTGAACTATGGACGAATGCCTCAGGCAATGACCTGGAATGTTGCTACTGAATACCCCGGTGTCAGAGTCTTTGCCCAACAGGTAAAGGACACAGTTATGAGTGCCCACGACACAATCCTTGCCGCTCAAGTAAAGCAAACAAAAGATGCAAACAAGCGACACACTGATGCTCCATTTGTTGAAGATGACTTAGTATATATTTCCACTGCACACCTATCAATCCCTAAAGGTCGCGCTCGGAAACTCTCACCGAAATTTGTCGGACCATACAAGATCCTGAAGGACTATAAGAATAACTCATACCTAGTTGATATACCTCCTCAGCTCAAGCAGAGAGGAGTTCATCCAGCATTTCATGCTAACCTGCTCCGTATCTATGTTCCGAATGATGACCGACACTTTCCGGGGTGACAGCTTGAGCAGATCTCCGAAATTGGAGCAAATGAAGAATGGAGTGTCAGCTGAATAGATGCGCACCGTGGCAAGGGACGTCGTGCCACATTCCGGGTGATTTACAACACCGGAGATTACGCTTGGTTCACTTATCACAAAGTTGAGCGACTAGAAGCCCTACAACAGTACCTTGAAGTAATTGGAGCCGACTCAATTAATGATTTACCTTCGCAACCCAACCCAGTGGCCAGCTCAGAGCTCAATTTATGTCTGATAGACTTGTGCCTTGATTCCTCGGCCAAAAATCAGGATAAACTCATCAAACTTCACCATGCCTCCAGTAATCATTATATAAGGAGCGAACCTGAGGCAATGTTTGAGCCCAATTTGCCACCCGCTTCTCCTAGAGTTGAGCCCATTGCTCCTCTTCGCCACTCAACTGTCGTGGATCACTCCCCTATCATCATATCCCCTCAGTACCATCCCGGAATCTCTGAGGCCCGCTTCAAACACTACCATCAACTTGCGGACCTCATCCACACCGGCGACTGGGACCCATATACCCATCACGTCAAGCAGCACTACCTGGACTACATCCTCCACTGTCAGGACCAGGTCCCAGAAGGACACCACTTTCCCCTTCCCATCACAACCAGCAACTCGGCTCCCCATAACCCGCCGGCGTCAGCCCCGCAGCCCCGCAGCCCCGCAGCCCCATGCTTCGGCTGCACCAGCCCCTGCTCTTGCCGCAGCTAACACTGCCCCAGCCGCAGCCCAATCTGCCACTGTCAACGCCGCTCCAGTACCCACAACCGCGCCTGCTGCAGCTCACCACGTAGTTGAACAGCCAGCCACCTACCCTGGGGCACCCAACAGGTTCCAGCCTTCGTACTTCCCTTCCCAGTACCACAGCGCCACTCCTTTCTACCTGCCATCCAACCAGCCTTATCAACAGGCCAGTGGCTTCTATGGCAGCTACCCCTGTGGACCCTATGGCAACTACTCCGCCACCAACAGTGTCAACTTTGGTGGCCAGCACGGAGGGTACCGCGGTGGCCACAGAAACCGGTACAACAACCCTGGGCTCGTACGAGAGCTGCGCCAACAAGCCAGTCGCACGGAGCAAATCATCCTGACGGATGCCGAGGCCAAGGCGAATGCTAACCTTGCTCGCCACCCCGGAGGCAATCGAGGCCACTTCCACAATGGCAGGCACAACGCACGCAGAGGGTGCGGTGCCCCCTTCAACAACCACTGTTTCCACCCTCATAGGGACGTTGACCGCCCCCACTTCCGCGCCGATGTTGATGCTGCCTCTCGTATGGAGTGCGACATCCTCCGAGGCATTGTATCCAACCTGATTTGTGAGTGTGGCTCTATTGCAAACACCCTGGCAGCCGCCAGTGTTGTTCTCGCAGGCAACAATGTTCTCTTGCCCATCCACAGCAGCATGCCGAGCCTGCAGTCCGTCTCAAACTTGAGCATCTTTAGCGCAGATTTCCATGGAACGGCCGGGCCGTCGGCAACACCCAAAATGAGGACATGACCATGCTCAACTTAATCGACAAACTGTCCCTCAACAACACCGCCAGACAAGCTTCCACTTCCCAGAACTCCACCACAGAAGCCAGCACTTCCAACACGGCCGAACCCACCGCACATGCTGAGTCGTCCCCGATGGCTAATGCCTTCTAGTTGCCCGCCTACTGTTTGGCAGGAGGGCGTATGTAGTGTCTCACTACTGTTTCTCTCTGTTTCCTTACTTCCCCCGGCCCATCCTCGTAATGTAGCTTAGCTAGTTTACCCGTACAGCACCCGTAGACTACTTAAGGACAAGATGTACATTACAAGTGGGCAGGAATCGATCCCACGAGTTTGGACCCGTTCTCTCCTTGCGTGAACTTTGATAAACCTCTAGTGTGAACAGTTCCAACTGCCACAATTTTGTCGTGTCTGCGCAGGGCGTGCAGGGCATCACGTGCCTCCTGCACGCATATCTTGACTTACCTCTTCTACCTCCTTGGGGGCTTCTTGGACTCTTACCACCACATAAGAGTAGAGTGTTTTGCACAACCCGCAAAAACTTGGTGTGTCTATACCACAGACATGTTTGCTCTATCACAAGCAATAGAAAAAAGAACCAAGTAACCAAACTTCTGGTCCCCCAGCCCTCTAGTACTCGTTGCCTCATTAAGTAACTGGGATGGGTGGCCCCTATCTTGGACCACCCAGACACTAAACATACTTACAGCTAGATAGAGGCATCCGATACTCATAAAAATTGATATGGGCAATTTAATCACTGTGAATAAACCTGAATTAAAATATGAGCCGAAAAGAACCAGAGAAAACTCACCAATTATTGCAATGATGTTGAGTACTATGGATATGAGGCACATAACTTGCATTTCAGCTTGAATAGATTTGTGGGGGGAAACTGTATCATTCAATTACATAGAATTCAAGGACATATTCCAACATGAGTATTTTGTGGATATATAGATATATCCCAAAATACCATACATATTCCCACAACTTCACCCAGTGGCTGATGCCTTGCGGATAGTCCCCCTTTCGCTCATGTTCTTGCTGCTGAATATTCAAGTACTAGTCATGTATTAACTATCAAAATACTAGCTGTTGACTATATGCCGCATGAGGCCACAGCACGCTGCACAGCTTGCGGGCCGGCTCAAGGCATGGCTAACCCAAATTGGGAAGCCACCCCTGAACTCTAAACCTTCAACTTGCGCCGGGTTTGCCTCGTCTCTGCGTGCATATTCCCTTCAAACCAGTCAATCATAGCATAACCAGCCAACAAAACAACTCACCAAGCAAATGAGGGTCTTCACAATGCCCAAAAGTGTCCAAGTCCCTGCAACAGAGCCACAGAGCCATGATACAGTGCCTGCAGTGCCTGAGCCTGATGGAGTGGGCTCTGGTGGAGCTGGCCCTGGACCTGGATGTGGGCAGGGACGAGGCGTGGCAGACAGAGGACGAGGTAGAGGAGGCAGGAGGGGTAGAGGAGATGGAAGGGGCAGAGGACAGGGAGGGAATGGAGGGGGCCAGGCAAGCACTGCAGGAGCCCAAGGTCAGTCACCCGCACATACAAGCAGCGCATCTGACACTGTGAAAGGAACAGGTCAGAAACAGCCTCAGGACACTAGTACTGCACCTGGTGAGCCTACCAAGCGACAGAGGACCAAGGGGGGAGGTCCCAAGCCATTCAAGACACCCTTCAAGACAGTGTCAGCAAACAAGCCTGAAGAATGCAAGCAGCCTACCTATAGCACCAAGCTCGTCCTTCCCGGGCTCCCTCTACACCTGCCTGGACTGCTCGCCAGCCCTAACCGTTGTAGATGTTGGTCATGGGCTGCAACAGATCGGGGAAGGCGTCAAAGCCAGTGTCTGTAACAGGTGGGACAGCACCAGGCTCGTTGCCGGGCTGTCTCCAATGCTGAAGCTCCTCCCACTTGCCTGGATACAGGAGGAGGCACTGGATGGCAAATTCGAGAGGGACGTAAGGGATGATCTTGACCGGTGTGCACTTGAGCTTCCTGTTTGCCAGCCATTTTTCCTTGTATATGGTTCCTGGGCAGTTCTCAACTGTGCACGCGGACGATGTAAGGTCAGAGAGGGTGGAGGGATGGTGTACAACCCAGCAGACATAACAAACACAGAGATAGACAATGAAGTTGTCCATTGAGAGCCCGAGGTGCTTGACTACAGTGGGGAATGTGGTGCAAAGTTGTTGAGACCTGGGTATGTGCCTTCAGGACAGCCTTCGGCAGCTTCAGCGAGTAAGAGACAGGTCCCCTCGAGCATAGACTAGGCTGCAGTGTGGGAGACACCATCACACAGAGTGAATACCCTGATGTACGTGTTGCAAATGGAGGGGTGGGCACTGAACGTGAGTGGTTGCTGGTTGTGACGAACGTCCTGATCGTGTACGTCTGAATAGTCGAATAGATCATCCATGGGAGCGTAGAGAGTGTCTTTGAGGGCTTGTTGAGCCTGGTTGATGGGCTCTTTGGGCTGGACCAGCTCCTCCTTGTCTTTGCCTTGATCCTCATTTTCAGAGTTGATATTGGGGGGAGGTGTGTGAGCTCGCATTTGCCGGGTGAAGAAGTTGTCATTGTTGCTGAGCTCTTCATTGCCTTCGTTGTTCAGAGACTGATTGTGGGCCTCCTCCTGGAGACCATACATATTGAAGAGTTCCTGCTGTAAGATGACAAAGTGAAACAAATGCTACAAGGAGGACCAATGGGCATACGCACCACAAAGACCTGGCCAACATTCATGATATCCTCAACATCCAGCCTGTCGTTCCCTGCATCACCGTCTAACTGCAGTCTTCCTCGTCGGCCTCATCGTAGCCACCCGGAGGCAACTCCCATCCCATGTCTTTGCCCTGCCTGTTCAGAGGCTCTGGTTGAGTGTTCTGAGCAGCCCCTTGAGTTGCTTGTTGAGCTGTGTGGGCGTCAAGGGCGTCGTGGAGCTCATCAGCCTTCTGATGTTGTTGCTTGATCTTTGGTTGTTGTTCCCGATATCCTTGGGGGTCACTCCCGCAACCAAAAGATCGACATGGGCACTTGACAAGGCCAATGACATTGGACATGGCTAAGGCAGCATGGAGGGGTCGATGATGGTGGTGGTCGAAGGCAAGAGCTTACACATATACGCCATCGGGCAGTTCAAGCTCTAAGTCCAGATAAATATGTCATTAATGAATATGCTGAAGCAAACATAAGTGGACAACATTGATTATGTAGCGAGTGAGAGAAGCGCGCGTCAGGTATTCGTACTGGCACGAGTACATTAAGGAATATAGAAATCCACTTAAATTTGCCCCAACTTCCTCACATTGGATTATTTCCTTGAAACTCTGGTGATATATCCTGTGGTTGTTCATAATATGCTTGTAATGTGGTAATTCATCAGAAGCTATCTCTAATAAAATTATAAGCATAGAGGATTATAGTATGTCCTTCAAACACACAGTGTGGATTAAACATGATGTAGCTACACAGTTTATTACATTCAAGTAGACCACTTAAGCACACAAATGAACAAAGTAGTCTATATGACAATGTGAGGGTCTGTTGTATTGCACTTGAGGCCAAAACAGAAGTGTAATATGCCTGATATATCATACAATGTACACTATGCTTTTATTTGACACATTCTCCATGCTAATAATTTCATAGGGATAGCTTCTGATAAATTACCACATTACAAGCATATTATGAACAACCACAGGATATATCCTATGTAATTGAATGATACAGTTTCCCCCCACAAATCTATTCAAGCTGAAATGCAAGTTATGTGCCTCATATCCATAGTACTCAACATCATTGCAATAATTGGTGAGTTTCCTCTGGTTCTTTTTGGCTCATATTTTAATTCAGGTTTATTCACAGTGATTAAATTGCCCATATCAATTTTGATGAGCATCGGATGCCTCTATCTAGCTGTAAGTATGTTTAGTGTCTGGGTGGTCCAAGATAGGGGCCACCCATTCTGGTTACTTAATGCAGCAATGAGTACTGTACTTTTTGGACTGTTTGCTCATCCCATGTCCCACGGGCCGGGTGAACAAACAATTGAGGCAGGACTGTCCCACCCCTACAGCAACTCATGAACAAAAAAGTGGGACATTTGGTAAAATGCCGCAAAAATGTGGATAAATTCAAAAACAAATTCCCTGGAGCAATTCTAACTATCTAATGGCCTAAGAATGTGTCACACTTCTTATTAGACACCTTATGACACTTCCTGCACTGTTTTTCTGGATCCTGTATGAGATTTGCATTGATATCAGTGTTGTCGGCCATCCCAGGACCAACCTCAGCCACACACATAGCATCCTTGCTATCAGGGTGGAGGATTTGAGCCATGAGACCTGAGGTCAGCAAGCTGGATCCACTAGTCATCATTGAAATCATTGTGACCCTCAAATGGGTCACAAGGCACAACAGCCAGCTCTTCATGCTCAAAATTAGTATTGTTGTCTGGTGGGGTGGACTTGGATATGCACTTCCAAAGGTCAGCATTGGTGTGAGGGATATTGCAAAGGATCTTCAAGGCCTCAGGGCTGGAAAGCGGGGGAGGCATTACAGAAAAAAATAACCGCACTATTAGCCATCCTACAGTCTGAGTAAAACCACACCTGTTTTATAGTTGATTGTGCTGAGGTAGTGCATACTATATGAAATGGTCCGAGAACAAAGAGCCTGCTAAAAACGCAAGTCAAGTTGGCATCACTACATTAGAGCTTCTTGTAATTAGCAAAACGGAGTCCAAAACTCACCTCTGTTACTACAGGGCCAAACATGAGCATATGCACGTTGCACACATACTCAACACATACTGACCAATGAGCACCAGAAGCCAATGCTCATAGAATGCACTATACCAAGCCTAGACACAGGATTGTTAGTAAAGGTAATGTGCACACTCAGAATCATTGTTGAGCTATGATTTCCCTGACGCACCTTGTCACTGAGGAATGGAGAACTGCCATGTCCCAGTGTCAACATGACGCATCCCGCAAACTTTGGGCATATTTAGCCCCTAATGAACATTGTGTCCCACGTCGGTCCCAGCCCGTGAACCAAAAAGCGGGATATCCAGAATAGGAAGTCATTTTCCCATGAGCGAAAGGTCAAAAAATTACAATAGTCACCCAAACGAACCTGAATGCACCAGTACAGTCACCTCCCAAAGACATGATACACGTCTTTCACATACACGTACAGAAAAACAATGTACAACTTGTAATATCCACCCAAGATGGTCAAACCTGGCCAGTGAACACAGCACACTATCTCACACATCAAAAGAACATAGTCTAAGTGTTGCATACTGCGCCACCCAATGCAGAAATGTGCCCCCCTCCTAACCCGAACAAGAAAACTTCATCCTGTTCACCTCACACCCTCATGCATGAAGAGAACTGGTCTCCACAACCATGATGTAGAAGCTGATGGGACACTATCAACCAATATCAACTAGCAGGAACTCCACTCCCCCCAAAAAACACGAGAGGTCCGCAATGGCAGGATTTTTGGACATGAGACCGCAGAACACCCATATCTCCTCAGTCAGACACAGGATGCTGGGTACATAAGGCAAGGAAAAAAAATGGAGAAAGGTATGTCCACCAACTCTCTCAAACCCAACCCCACTGCTCGTATCATAACTGATTCACGCAATGGCAAACGCAACCACGACACCAAGTCCATCACACCCACAGCAGAACCCCCCCCCCCCACCCTCTCTCAACAATGAGACCCAGTTCCCATCTCTTAAGAAACCCTGTAACTCTATCAAGAGAGCGCTTGCTACAGTAAGATCATTGCATCCTTACCACCCATGGTCTCATCAACCAGTCCACAGAGCAAATTTATCCGCAAAAACCACTTCAATAGAGCCAGGAGAACGCCACCAGTTGCCCCTCAGCCTACACCTCCTACCACTGCCCCTGGGTCACCATCCTTTATCCCCATTCCTGCTCTATCAGTGGATGAGGAAGCTGCACACATACAGCAGTCCGAAAGCATTGAGAGCCTTGCTGACGACCACGCATCTCCCCGATCTCTGCTATCACTCCCGTCCTCTAGTCTACCATCACACGGAAACCTCCTAGCTCTGGTGATCACACCCATGAACACCAACCCCGATACCTCTCAGCTCAAAGGCAACAAGGTTGCGGCCTCAAACAAGAAACCAGCTGGTCTTACGAACCCCCCTGGGGCCGGTCACCTTCCCTGAAGTGGTATCCACTCTCAACCACGTTGAGCCCTCCACTCACACATTCTTGGATGGCACTCTACATGACATACCCTGCGGAAGGCCCCCTCCAACCCCAGATATACAAAGCACCCGACCAAGGCCTTTCCTGTGCCATCAAAGTCAAATGGAACAAGAAAAAGGGTACCAAAGCTTGGGTCTTCTTGCACTCCCCCCGCCACAAGCCAAATAATCAAGAGAAGCACAACAAGGCAAAAGCCCTCATAGGCAAGATCATGCACAGAGACATTGGGGACTTCACCCTAAGCCAACCCATTGCAGACACCTCCAATGACAAACCCCCCATCAACTCAGCATACCCCCACTGCTACTTGCTATCAGCTCCGGAGGACCCCTCCATTGTAGACTCTGTCCTCAATTTTGGACCCCTAGTCTCCACGGAGGAGATCATGCTCCATATTTGTCCCTTTGCACCCAGCAACCCCAAGTTCATCGGCACAGTACAGCACTTTAACCTCACGAGCAGCAAAGCTGACACCGAGATTGTTGAAACTCACGTCCGCAAACACATCAGGGGACAAGCCAACATCAGGGCAACCCTTGATATGCACTCCACAACAAAGGATCCAAAGGAGCAGGACCAAATTGTGAACTCAATCACCGCTGTTCCCTTCAGCATCAACACATCCCGCTCCTCCCAAATGCTGCTCTGGAACATCTATTTTTGAATCCTCCCCAAGCTCTCCTTTGAGAAACATGTCAACCTAGTCTTCCAGATCTGTCACTTGTCCTTTGTGATGACTGACTACAGACACAGTTTCTTCCAATCTGGGATGCATCAGTTCATCTGCCACGGGTGCCGCAGCTACGACCACCCAATGGGCATGTGCCCTTTTGAACTGCTCCCAGGCTGGTTGGGCCCACATGGCCTCAGTAACGGACCTCCCATTGTGTCCAAAGGTGGTAACCCTCTGAACAGCTCACTTAACGACACCCACAGAGGTAATGCAAACCAAAGTTGAGGTCGCGGACGTGGTGGCAGGGGTAGAAGTGCATACCAAGGCTAGGAGTCTCTGAATGATAGCACAATTTTCATCTCCTCTATAAGCCTCTCAACAGGTTGGATGTACAAGTAGGATAGCTCAACACTATTCCTACCATCAAGATGCATTGATATAGAACTACCTTGCTTTCAAAAAAAAAACTGCATCACATTTTAAGAAAGATATGAGAAAAAACTAAACAGGCACCACAAGCACCCCAAACCAGGAATCACCCTTAGTCTATGACCTTTATATAAATTCCAAACAATCCCCGCCTCAGAAAATCATGCAGCCCCATGCTATTATCATTAAAGCACCTGCTATAATCAATGTGCCCGTACCTCACAAAACATAAAATCACAAGCCCCTACATTATCATAACATTATATGTAATCCCTGAACATCCGCTCATCAGACACACCAACCAAAACAAGTTCTTAGCATAGCGTAACTCATATTTTCCTCCCCCGCAGGCTCCCACTGAGTAGAGAAACACAACAGAACAACAAATAAGGACTTCCTGGAAGGAAAACACCATCTATGGTATTAAAATCCTACTCTCACATCTCCATGTAGTAGTGTTGCCATTGAGGCAAGGTGACCTCAAGGTGACCTCACCTTGCCTCAAAATTTTGACACCTTGGCTAACCTTGAATGATCTGAGGCAACCTCGAGCTAGTCTTGCATTACCTTGCGAGGTGAAATTCTTCTCGGTAGATCACTGTTATCTATAGCCTGTTCCTCCTTCATAGATTGTTTTGAGCCATCATAAATACTATTTGCATGCTCCAGACCACATTACAACCAATACTTGAAAGTTGTACCAGTACTAGAATGAAATGACATGTCTCAGAAACACATAATCTACAAGACACCAGCATCTAGATGGAGCAAGTATGTGGCAGAGCATAGGTATTTGCCCACCCAAAACCTCCTGCAACAACTACAGCCAGCTCCACCATCAGGTTTTTGTGATGCAACTTCACCTATTGCCAGTCCATGCAGTGGAATCCCTCTGCAGGCACTGATAGTACCTGGGATCTAGGCAATTTTTGCATTTACTTTGCATTTGAGCTTCTCACTTTGTTTCAGGTCAATGAAGCAGTATTCCCTCTGCTGTTTCATGTTGCCACAGACATTCTCCTGGCTCAGGCCCCATCCTCTGTTGCATCAGAATGTGTTTTCTCATCAAGTAAATAGACATGCACCAACTCCCAAAACAAGCTCTCATCAGACACTCTTGAACAGCTTCAATTTCTCAAGTATACTTATAAGCAGGATAGGCTGAACTATACAGAAGATTTGGTGGTTTGCAAGAGGGACTACAGCATTTCTGGACTGGTCACAAGACGTGCCACTGACGAATTGGTGCTGGAAGGCAATCTCAGCCTCTTGGATGAACGGCTGAGTTGCCTAATCTGTCACCTCACCTCGATGGCAATACTACCGTGTAGTGTAAAACCTGCCCTTTGCCTGGCCGCACTGGACAGAATCTTTTACAACATGAAACTCTCCAAACTACATCCACTCCTTATGTATCCCTTCGTAACCAGTTATAAAAACCATGAATAGCCCCAGTTTCTGCCCATGGCATCCTCCCAACATACATACCCACCAGATCAGATTGCCCTGCTGTTGGCAGCAATGAACACTGCCTGCCTCAAAGTTGCAGGTGTAATGGTTGTGGTAGAGAGAGCCCAGCATCTCACACCACCCTTAGGGAAATGCACTCGCCCCATCTTCTGCCTGGTCAACATTACTGTACCTCGCAAATGGAAGATCCGCATTAGTAATCCTGTAACAGGATACATCAACACTTTCCAAATCCAGTGCAGTCCAATGAACCTGTAACCCTCACCTTCAGAGGAGTCATATCTGGCTTTATTGACATAGACATCTGCAACATCCACTTCCTGGTAGCACCATACCACGCTCCTTACTCCTCCAAATCTAACATTCTATCATTAAGTGCACCTCTCCTTTCCTGGGACTCTCTCAATACCCTAAACAATGAGTCACAGTTTTTTAATATCCAGGTCATTAGGTAGTAAAATAGTTGTGTCACTCACAAGGACTACTGTATCTTATTGTAAATATTTTGTCACTGCACAAAACCAATACCAGTAATGCTGAAAATGCAGGCCGTGTTCACATGTGAGGATGAAACAACCATGCCTAATATAAGCACGGGGGCCTAAATTGCGTGGTCAACTGGGGCCAAAATATACTGACATTGGACTTAATAAAACCGATGGACAGGAAAGCCCTGGACTTCAAAAAATCACTAAAACAGAGACCTATTCAGGTCTCCAGGAAGAGCCGTGCCGAGAGGCTGAAGATGCAATGCAAAACATAGGAGATACCTCACCAATCTTATGAAGTAGCTGACCATCATATTCCCCTTGCCATGTGGAAAGCAGTTTTACTGCTGCAACTTTTGCTGAGGGGCAGTGGCACACCAATCAGCGACTCCACTTTTTTCAAATAATCCTAGCAGACCAGGTCTGCAAACAAATACTAACTTTTCACCCCCGCAGCACAATCAACAGCAAGAACAAGGACCCGCCACCTCAAGACCATCAAAATCACCACCCACATACCAACACCATACATCTATACTGACGAACCCCGAGGTAAGTATGTCCCCTACATTCTCACCCACTGAGGCACCGAAGCAAACCCCTCCACTTGAAAGCCTATACCAAGGCATCCTCACAGAGGATATTGATGCTGAATTAATTGACAAGAACCTTCTTGCTCAGCATGATCTCAACAAAGATCAGGAAGTACCTACTCTCTTCAACGTAAACCAAATACCGTCAATTGAACCATGGTCAAACCATAACACACATGAAAACCCTCCTGAACAATGACATCAACCAAAACAAAAACCACAGCCATCAAGTCAAAAAGTACCAGAGCACGTACCATAGTAGGATCCCTGCACATAAGAGGACGATTCAGTGAACTTAAAAATAAGTGGCCTAACATAAACCAGATGATACACTTACAAAAAATTGGCATTCTAGCCCTACAAGAATCACATCTGAAATTAGATGAAACAAATGAAAGATACCATAAATCCATGTTTATTACTAGCTCAAACAACAAAAACCGTCCAAGAGTAGGAGGTCTTGCTCTGGTCCTAAACAAGAAACTATTTCAGACAAACCAAGTAAAATTGATCACCATTGTACCAGGTCAAGCGATGATCAGCCAAATCACATGGCACAACAAAAAAAGACTCACCATCCTCAACATATATGCACCCGCATCCAATGACCACAATATGGATGAATTCTGGACAACAAGCCAACATCAGCTATCAATGACACTCAAGCCCATACCAAAACCGGACGTGGTCTTAGGAGACTTCAACATGGTTGAGGATTCAATGGACCGTATTCCACACTGACTGAATGACAACACCATCCTATCATTCCGTCACCTTAAAACATTCCTAAATATAAGCAACAGATGGTGCCTAACCAACCCGAAAGACATCAACTTCACTTTTTTGCAAACTGAACATCAAGGACACAGCCAATTATGAATAGACAGAATATATGCCAATAACACCCACATACCATTCTGTAGAGACTGGGAAATATTGGATACTGGAATCCCAACAGACCACAGGATGGTCACTGTAAGATTATCTGCCAAAGAGCTACCCTTTGTTGGAAAAGGTAGATGGACAATGCCAATCAGACTCACAAAAGACCGAAACTGCTTGACTTCATCATTAAAAGAGGAGATGAACTATGAAAAGAACTCAAGTCCATTAAAGAATCAGGACACTTACCTAATCACAACCCGCAAACAGCTTTTAAAGCCTTTAAAGAGGAAATCATAACCACAATCAGGACAGAAGCAAAGACACAAATCCTGAAACTCACTGCCTCAATGAACAAACTTAAAGAAGAGCTAAAGACAACCCTAAAAGCAACATCCATAGATGAAATAGAGAGCCAACAGAAAATATCAGAACTACAAGCAAAAATAGAGAACATTGAAAAGAATAATAATATCCAAAGCAAGATTCCGTGCGGAGAAAGAATGCGCAGCTAGCAAAACATGGGCCAAAGTCGGAAAATCAAAAGCCCCTTGCAACACCATCACGGAGCTCACATACCCAGAATCAAATCCCAAAAAATAAAAATAAAATGTACTGATAAAATGGCTGAGATAGCAAGAACATACCACAAGAATCTACAGGAATCCAGTCTAGCCTCCCAAGAAATCCGGACATTGCAAGCAACAAAATACTAGACAAAATTCAAGTCAGTCTACCACAAAAAGCAGGGAACAGATGGCCAACAAGATATCGAAAACTGAGATTGCCAAAGTCCTGAAGAACCTACTCAATGGGAAAGCTGCAAGCATAGATGGAATCCCATATGAACTATGGAAAGAAATCAGCAAGCTTGCACCCAAAGACGATCCAAGCACAAACACAACAAATAAGCCAGCTTTTGACATAATAGAAACACTCACATACATTTACAATGACATTGAAGAACACAGTGTAGACCCGTCCACAAACTTCTCAGCAGGATGGATGTGTCCCCTATATAAGAAAAAAGACTGTACGGACATAGTGAACTATAGGCCTATAACCCTGTTAAACACAGATTACAAAATACTCACAAAAGCCATAGCAGTACAACTAGCAGATGCAGTCCTGCACATAGTCCACCCTAACCAAGCCGGTTTCATTCCAGGCAGAAGTATAACTGCCCAGATATGCCTTATAGAGATGATCAAAGCCTATGCAGAAAAAAAAGGGAAAATGGAGCAATCATTGCACTGGATCAAGAAAAAGCCTATGATACGATATCACATACGTACCTTTTCAAAACCCTCGAAAATTTTGGCTTCCCTGAGTCCTTCATTAACCTAATCCGCACTCTATACCAACATGCAGAAACCTCCATCATGATAAATGGAATCCTAAGTATCCCATTCCAGATTCTAAGAGGAGTTTGACAAGGCAACACAATGTCATATCTCCTTTTTGACATTGCCATTGAGCCCCTGGCATACATGATCAGAATCTCATGTATCAAAGGCTACAAAACCCCTACCATGAATAACAGGGCTGTTGTTGCAATGTTTGCGGATGATACAACTGTTTTCCTCAGCCACAACAACAACTTCCATGCTCTCAACATGATCCTAAACTACTGGTGTATTGCATCAGAAGCCAAGTTCAACATTGACAAAACAGAAATCATACCTATCGGCTCCCCAGAACACTGTACAAGAATAATTGAAACCAGGAAACTTCACCCATTGCATAACCCAATCCCCAGGAATATCCAAGTTGCCAAAAACAGGATGGCAGTCCGCATACTAGGAGCGTGGCTAGGAAACAAAGTTAACCAAGCCACTGTCTGGTCTACCATAATTGACCAGATAAAAAATAACTTTCAGAATGGGAACAATCATATCCATCCCTAGAGGGATGAAGCATCATCATACAATGGCAACTGGGCGGAAAGACCCAATACCTAACTGCCGCACAGGGCATGCCTAACAGCATAGTTCAAGAGCTGAAGGAAATACTATATGACTTCATGTGGGATGGCAGAGGTCGACACATTGTCAACCTCCCGCCAATGAAAATGAAACATACCACAGGAGGAAAAAACATCCTGGACCTAGACTGGAGGAACACAGCGATTGAACTGGACTGGTTACATAGACTTCTCGAACCTGAAGAAACAAGAGAAAGATGGGCATTTTTTTGCCCACCACTTGATCAACACATCTCCTAGAACTAAAGCGAGAACATACCCGGAAACCAGACAATCCTTTCTGCACCAATTATGACTCCCATTGTATTTAAAACTCCCCCCTTACATCACTCAAATGCTAGAAACGGGAGACAAATACAACCTTCAGATTGATAATGTCAGACTGAACAACCTCACCAAAGTATGTATGCCCTTCTGGCACCATATAGCACAAGATCCAAATGGGCATGCGACCTCAAAACCCTCTCTGGACAAATGCCTAAGACAGAACCACACAATAAGAACCGTCAACAACTGCTGGGAGTGGATCAATAACATAACAAACTCTCACCAGGACACGAACATATGCATGTGTAACTCATGTCGGCACATGAGGTTTGTGATAGATTGTGACCACCCAGCTGCATGCATAAACCATGCCTGCACTCTGCTAAACAAGATTCAACCAAAATGGAACCCAAAAATCAACACACCAACCCAACAAATCCCCAGTGAACAGGAATGAAGAAACATCGGGAAAAACTCAACAATTTTTGACGACCCAATGCACGAACAAAACCGCCAACCGGAAGTCCGTGTCTTCACAAAAGGCATAAGCTTCCAGGAGGAATGGCCAGCTCCACCTAATAACACAACCCAACAACCACCATTCCAAGAATGCCCTGGAAAATCTCAATATGTGGGAAACAAAAACATCTCAAGGACAGCCTCCAGACTACCCAGATACAAAAAACAGTCATCAACAAAACTTCGGTGTCCACCATTGGGGAAATCACAGCTGCAAATGCTGCAATCAACTGAACACCCAAGAATGAGGATATCCACATCTTAGTACCTTCCAAACCCCTAAAAAAAACTATCTCACATCACAACTAAAACATCAGGAAAACAGTGGATGGGTCTCACTTACCAAAGATGAATGCTCCTGGACACGTCTCCTAGTCACCCAGCTTCGAGCAGGATGCAGTGCAACCACAATATTAGACTCCAAGGACATGAATACTGCAAAGATAGTCAAAGATCTCACAAGAGACAGCTTGTCGCATACAGCAATAACTCACCCTCCCCCCTGGTATATTCTGAACTACACAGCATCCCCCTAGAGGCTGGAAAACAAAGAACTTTCTATAAAATCTTCAGAGAGATGAACAGAGCACACCAACAAAGACTAGCTGAAATAAACCTCACTCCCATAAGATTTATGATAGCCGAGCTAAACAGGAGAGTGCCTGATAACTCTAAGATATGGGGAATAACCTAAGATAAAGACCTAGATGTTAAGATCAGAAACTTCTTCTGGAAGTGCATCCACCAAGTGTACAAAATTGGCCAGTACTGGATGCAAATCCCCAACCATGAACACAGGGACATATGCCCTCTATGCAAAGAGGAAAATGACACCATCAAACATATTCTACTCACCTGCGGCCACAAAAATGCCCCTCCAAAAGTAATATGGGCACTGGTTGAGGACCTTTGGTGTCTCCAGGGAACCAGCTGGCCAGACCTGACGATTGGTATTGTTCTTGGATGCGGCCTGATAAACTTCCGCACCACCTCCAAGAAACCAGATGAAGGAGCAAGCAGACTATTCAAAATCCTAGTAGCAGAATCAGTCTACCTCATCTGGATCCTCGAATGGGAATGTCAAAAGAACACCCCAAACTATCCTGATGGCGCCCACTCTCCAGAGGAAGTAAAACGCAGATGGTACGCCAGAATCAACCACCACCTTGAAATGGACAAAATGATGGTGGATAGATTCAAAGTGAGCAGACACACCCTAGAAAGAAAGTGGAACAAACATGGACAAGGGTCTGAGATCAAAACAACCTATCCGAGAATTGGATTTACAATTTGGGGGTTTTAGTGGGTAACACTCCTTGCCAGCTACCCGGCAGAAATAGATAATAAGGAGATCAGTCCCACACTGCCACATGGCGTGCAAAATGCATTTCCCCCAGGTGATGCTACTTTTTGGATCTCGACATTGGTCTTTTGGGTCTCTACTTTCTGATATCAAGCTACAGCTCACAGGTGAAACCCCTGCATTCCTGACGTCTCAGACAGGGGCAATTGCCTCTGTTATACGGCATGTACTGCATCGCTGTCTGGTACTCTTTTTTTCTCTTCCCATGAAAGGAACGTCCCACCAAAAAAAAAAATCTCTTCTACCTCCTTACTCTGGTCTTGTTGTGTCTCCTTGCACACATATCTCTCGACTCACCCCTTCTACTCACTTACCAACTTTGCCAACCATTATATATAAAGTCGGACCCTTTTGTGCCTCACGTGCTGCTCCTCATACTCTACCTGAGCAGCCAAAGCACACAACTTACTTAGACATTGAAGTATGCTCTGCTGCTTGTCCAATATCATTGGCATCATCAACCATAGCTGACTCTTGGCTCCAGACCATCCATGACCTGGGTATATGCAATGGTTAACAGTCCGGTTTTATGAATGTAACATGCAGTTTTGGCCATGTATGTTTATGCTATCAATAACTTAATGCACTGTGCCCACTGCCAATCACTCCAACTCCCGTGTCCTTCTCTCATGAGTATATAATGTCTACCAGCAGCCTCTTGATGCAATCTTCACCATACACAACACTGTATGATTGCACTCTGCTGCAAGCCTGCACTTTTTGCACTTTTGCAGTACACTACACTGCATACCTCTGCACCATGCTGCAGCCTCTGCCAACTTTGTGCCGTCCTCCACGATGTAATCTATTACCCCTGGGCTGAGTTTTGCGGGGTATCCAAAATCAACGGCTTTGCATGGCAAGCCTGCAATCTCATTTGTCTGTCCTTTTTCAAATATACTGATCCTCGACTTGTTTTTTTGGAGATGCTCAATCCCTGTCACCTGGAATACATACATGCAAACTACATGTACTAGTTGTGTATCTTCATTGCTTGATGATGGCCAGGAAAACTATTCTTATTGGATTCTTGGTGAACCCTACTACCATTTAAGCACCTGTGTTGATGACTGCAATATGAAATACAACCACCATGATTGTTAGTGTTAGAGCAACGCACATGGAGTGCCAATGTTGGAGTAACACATTTATTAGCCTCCCCCATCATCTGCTTTGTTGCACCGGTGTTGAAGGTGAGTTCCAGCAGTTCTTTGAACTCTGAGTAGATAGTTGACTGGAATGACTTATGTCTCTGTAGCATTCACCTCCACTGTCTTTCATGAAGCCTTCTGTGCCAAACCAACCGCATCAGGCTGGTGTCAACCAATCCACCAGCAGCCCTAGTGATGGTGCAGGTGCACCAGTGTCCAATGCAGCATCAAACCGACTGGTGCCCATCCTCGATGCCCATGATAATGCCTATGTAGACGGTTTCAGTTGATGTCACTGACACAATGGTTTCATCAGGGAGAGTTTGTGCATATACACAACCATATGGGTACCCAGAGCAATCATCAACAGCAATATCATCTTTAACATTCAACCTTCCATCGCCAGCACCTTTACCCTATACTGGACTGGCAGGCACATATCTGTCACAGGTCTCACACCCACATTACCTGCTGCCACTGCCCCCTGTCCTTTCAGCATACCAAAACCCATCACCATATCAATTCCCCTTTGCATACCCCACTCATGTGGCTGTGCCTCCCACTTCTATTCCTTCTATTTACATGTTTCCCCCACAAGGTTATACTGCACCAGCCTTACCTCCTATGTCAATCAATACCATACATCCTCTACTCAACCCACCCCAAAATCAAGTACCAACCACCAGCTCCTCCACTTCAAAACCAGAACCAAAAGCAAGGCTACAGAACCATGCTCTACAACCGGTGGAAGGAGCAATGGCTCCAGTCGACAAGGAGCCGTCACCTCATTTCAATTGATCCCTCTCTCCCCTCAGGAAAATACATGAAGCTGATTCAATCTTATCCCAGATACAAGACTGCGGTGCTCACGCAACTACATACCTGCCGCTTACCACTAAACCAACACTTACACTGTATAGGAAAATGTGATGACCCACATTGCAACTCTTGCCCAGGTCTTGACGAGACGGTCTGACACTACCTATTCTCATGCCCACATTGGGGCCAAGCTCAACAGGCGCTTGTGTTCTCACTTGGACAAGACACTTTTACCAAAAGTCACCTCCTTAATGACCCCAATGGAACATACAAAATCATGAAGTTCATTGATCAGACAGGGAGATTCTGGTCTACCTTCAGTTCAGTATGTCGCACATTATATTTGGGCACATAAAACTGCTTTGCTGCTAGGCTTGCAACAAGGCGCTATCTATATGGACTTGTGGGCCAAACCCTGGCAGTTGCTGGAAATGCAGGGTGGGGCAACTATCACAACCAGAAGTCAAAAAATGAGAGTCAACCAAACAAAGGCGTAACAGGCTACAGCCAGGGAAATTACAACACACCACCCTCCAGAGACATATCCACAACACCCTCCACTTACATGTTAGACATATCTGAATGTATGATCCCACTTTCTCCATGGTGGCTCGGGAAACTCATAGGAAATGGGCTGACCAGGGGGGGCCATCCAATGCTGAACCTGTGACCCTCGGGAGCCGAGTGGGATTGGGCAATGGGCCTTATCTTTCATTAGTAGCTACTAGTATGTATTGTCCGACATGGGGTGACTAACCCCAATGGATGCAAATGGAACAATAATAATAATAATAATAATAATAATAATAATAACCAGAACCAAAAAAAGTCAGCTGTTGAAACTTGGGTTGGCTGTGCTGCTTCAATGCCTTCAAGCTTCCATCATGTACATTCTTCCAGTAAGATTCATTCTTCAACATGAGCCAGCCTCACAAATTAGCACTTCACCAAGGCCGCCAGAATAAGAAATCAGTAACAGGTGCGACAGCACTTTTGCAAATATTTTTCAAGAGTGTTAACTTGAAGGCTGTTGCATTAGTCTAGGACAATGGCAGACACTCAGGTATCAAGACTTCTTGGGTTGAACATCACACCAGGGCTGGTCCACAATCAACTCTGTCCATAACCAAAGCACATAGGTTAGCCCACCAAAAAGACTCCAATACAAATGTATCCAGTTTCTTGAGTAACATAAACTCTGCTGGCTACAAGACTGTTGTTTTCAAGTCTGCTGAGGATTGGGACTACTGGCCCAATGGGGCATTCAAAGCTGACATATCTGACAAGATCCACAGAAAGACCCGAGGGTTGATGGTCCATTGGGCCACATCTACATACAGAGTACCATCCGGCCCCACCCTAGCTAAAAGATGGAAGAAAGGCCACTACTCCAAGCACTCATGTCAAGGTATCATTACCTGTGAAAATGACAGCTGCCAGGTGATAGTCTAACCACAGTCATGGAAATCTGGCATTCAGACACAGATCAACAAGCCATACCCCAGGTGTTGTGCCTTGCTCATCCATGAGTCCTGCCAGAATGTTGCTGAAATATGGACATGGAGTGGGGGATACCATTATTGCAACAGCATCCATCCTCACAATCACCCCTGTCCTTGACTATTGCATGCCTCTGTTCAGGAGGAAGCCCAGTTCATCAACTTATGTGATAATAATCCTGGAGCTGGTCCAGCAAAATTTATTGCTGGAATTCCCATCCTCAGTGGTGACAGATGTTCTGTTGCAAATATTTCACCCACATATGTGAACATTAGTCATGTGACTAAAGACTGTCAGAAACTCAAGGCATCTGTACCACGCGGTGGTGACACTTTTATCCTTGACTTTTCCTACTTTGATTGTAGCCATCCGACCTTTGTCACCTCCGGTCAGATTAGTGCTGTTACAGTGTTCACGATGCAGAGTAAATTCATGAAATCTCTACTGCTCAAGAACTATATTGCAGATGAGCTGGTGAATGGATTTGTTACAGATGAAACCCACAAGTATTTTGCTGATCACAATGCCTTCCTCCTCATCACTGCAACCTACTTGCTAGAGCTTAATTATTGGGTGCTAGTTCAATTTGCTTATCTCAATAGGGCAACAGCAGGACACTACTGAGTGCACTTTCTGGCTTTGTTTAAAAGCATAGCTGCTCAGGCTGTTGAACAGAGAATTCCCGTTTCTGACAAACTATTTGCAGGGGTATAGTCTTCTTTCGAAATATATCTGGCATAGTCATGCTCAAGTCTGTTTCTTGTAGGTCATTGACTTCAGCGATGCTGAACGCGTAGGTTTTGAAAAAGTCTTTGTTGATTTTTGGCATCTACAACACCAATTGATAACCATACAGAAGAATAGCTGTATGAAGATGCAAAGAAGTGTCTGAAGGGTTGTCACCAACACTTTATCGCTGGAACCACCTGGCTTAAGCACACAGGCCTTGTACATTCTGACTGGAACTCAAAAAAGTATTTTGACACATGCATTCAGGAGCTGATGAATACTCATGATCAACATCAATTCCAGACCATGGTATCTCAGCTTTGTGAACAATTCCCAAAAGTTAAGACATGAAATGACTGGTGGTTACATCCAAATCATGCTGATCTGATTGTTGAAAGCCAGCACCAGATGGACCCTGTTATTTGGGATGCAATACCCTTCAGCACCAATGCATCTGAGGCGATGCATGCACAAATATACAGAGCAATCAGCAACAACTTTGCTTTGATGGAGGGGCTTAATGGCCTCTTTGCCCTTCATCAATGCTTCTTTCATCTGCATATGGCTGCTTTTGGTAAAACTTTGCACATCTTTGTTTCATAGTGGTTTACTAACAGCCAATGTAGCAGGAACACCTATCAAATATGAGCCCAGTGTACCATGGAAGCAACACACAGAGGAATTTGAGCAGAGCAAATCTAGTTGTCAACCACCAGTTCATCCTCACAGTGATGCTCCCCCTTCAAAAATTCTCAGCTTCTGAAACATGAGGCAAAGCCAGTAAACCGAGAACATATTGGATACCCTTGGAAGAAACTATCCTGTTGGCTTGATACAGCACTGGAGCTGCTTTTCTGGATGGCAATGCGTGATTTCAATGACTACAGGCAGCACTTCATTTCCTGCCCGGCCTCTGCTGAGATCTATAAGCTCCTCAGCATTGTTGATCTACATCACACTACTATTACTAATGACCCATCTGCTCTAGGGGAGAATACCTCAGAGTTACTAGGAGAGCAACATGACTGTTTCAGGATACTTCTCAAATCCATCAGGATCATTGATTCACTGGATGCTGAATGTTCTGTATTTGTATGTTGTAACCCTTTTTCATTCTTCCTGCATCTCATGGAAGGACCATTATTCATATAGTCATGGTTATCAAGATTAGTAACAGAAAACAGATTCTTTACTGCAAATGACTTTGTGGCTCACTTGTTGTTCCAAACATTCAAGGTATGCATTCACACCTGCAACAGGATACCCCAGACTCGGAAGAAAAGGCATCAACAGAGGGTGGTTTGTTCACATATGCAAATCTCATCACAGCCACAGACACACTTTGGCCTCTTGCTTCTTAGACAGGACCACAAGACCTATGGTAGCAGTGTGCTCCATTGGTTTCAGGATCTAACTTGCCTTAATTCTCCCCATGACAAGATTGGCTCAGGGTGCTGGCATGAAGCAAGTGGGGTAAAGTACTGTTATGGTCAAGGAGACGTCACTTCTGTCATCCTTTCTATGCCAGTAATTCTTGTTATAAATATATCAATGAGACAGAGGATAACTCTGGAGGTTCGTGGGATGCACTAAAGAAGTTGTTTCTACCTGCTCCCAAAGGTGACAATCCCTCTGCACATGGTCTTTTCTATGAGCTTGTTGTGCTTGCCTTGTATAGCTCCACTCAGCAACACTTCATTGTCCGTTATTCCGTCTCCCCTCTTGGTTGATCAAAGGAGCTGATCTATGTCTATGATGGACTACATTACGGTGGTCAGCATCAACGTGTGGATCCATCAAAAGCCAGTCTATTCTTGCTGGACCAAACCCTATTATACCTCCTGGATGCTCTCCCAATGCACTTGTCTATTGCTTACATGGTGGTCTGACATCACAGCAAAAGTTTTATGGTCAGCAACTGAAAGATATACAGGAAGTACATGGCTTAGTATCATCCTCAAGCTCTTTTGGTGCACGTCCGCATCTGACTATTTGCAAAGAGGGATTCAAGCAGCTTGAGAATTCTACATGTCTTTGGACACAGAAGACCTCACTTGTAGACTACGAGGAAGAGGTTCCACAAAAGTCAGAGCCACCCACACTGCCAGAGAGCCAGCATTTTGGAGCAGCCCAGATTTCTAGTTCAAACATTGTTCAAACATAGATTTTGCCAGAAGCACTGACACCTCTGCCAGCGGAACCTGACCTAGACCCAGATTTCCCTCTTTATCTATCCACCTCTTTGTTTTCAGACTGTAATTTGCAAACCCCCATTTCCGAGTTCAACTTACTGGTTGCAATAGATGAGCCTGCTGTACTGCTCACCTTGCACTCTGAATGGCCCGCTTCACCAACTCAGTTTGTGGTTGAACCCTCTGAGAACAATCAGCTGTAGAATAGTCAAAGCCCAAGGATACCCAAATAAACTTGGACCATGACAAGGACGAGGGTTCTGCATCAAGTATTATATCTGATTTCCTCATCAAGTGCCACTGTGGTCTTCAAGGAGATGGGTTTGCAGTTAATCATGATGATGATTTTGTTCAATGTGATGAATGTAGAAACTACTCACATACTGTATGCAGATGGCTGGGCATCTAGAGGCTTTTCACACAAAAAGTTCATTTGCAATGACTGTGATCTTTGGGAGCTGAAGAAACAGGCTAAGGTAGTGCCAGCACCAAGCTGGAAGTGAGTACCAAGTTATCACAGTACTCTTTGAGGATCCTACTTGCTTATGCTAAGCTTCTGATCCAGGAGCAGCCGACATACCAAAAAATGGCCAAAAGACTTCTTGGATTTGCCCCCAACTCCATTGGCTAAGCAGTTAAAGTATGTGCCTCATATCCATGGAGCATCATGAAGCCCAGTGAAAATGTGAGCTATTCATATTAATTAACCTCTATTGGTTTCTATCATTATATATTTGTCAGCCATTTTAACAAGGCAATGAAATGCAAATCATGATGTGTTTCTAAGTCCATGAGCTGTAAATGCAGAAACCTTAACCTGAATTTGGTGAGGCTAGTGTTTTAATAACTTGTGTGAAGTAAATACATGGTTGTCAAATAGATTATGGCTGCTATCCATGCAAACTGTCCCACTGGGACACTTCTGGTATCCGACTGGTGATTTTTCACATGGCCCGGGAATCCAAGAGCATCCTATATTCATCTAAGTCCCCACGCACTCACTATACCCAAGCTAGTACTCTCACATTGTACACTGCCAATACACGTCCTTTCCATCTCTATACAGTCCACTGCAGGACATGAGCCAGCCCTGATGGATTTCCAATAGTGCTCCTGCACTCTATGTCTTTGCAAGTCTGGCGGAAAAGGGAAGCTGGTCACAGAGAAGAAGACATGGTCAGCCCATAATGCAGATGCTGTGCAACAGGGAGGCTCTTGTATCATTCCCCAGCAGGCTCTCCAAACCCTCACCAATATGAGAGAAGTCAGGCAGGACTGGAAAGAGGACCGTGGTATATATGGACCACCCAGCTCAGTTGCACTAGGCTTTCAATGTTCATGTTCACCCAACCAGCTGGCAGGACCCTCTGCCAAATGCGCACACAATGTCACAGAGCTAGAGGAGGAAAAAGCTGACTATGAGGATATTCAAGAGGAAGTGGAAGAGCCAATGGACCCAGAGGTGCATTATGATATCCACACACACTATGATCATCCTTATGACATTTCTCTGTTACTTCTCTTAGCCAGAGAATAACACAGACATTCTCTGAGTACGAGGAGGTTCAAATGATCCATTCACTGCACAGCAGCCAGATAACTCGGAATGAAGAGATATGTTCAAATTGTCTCAACTAATCTACATGTTTCCCAATAACCATTCCAGCACATCTGCATGTTTGAAGAACCAACCAAGGTGAAGGAAAAGGCAATGGAAGAAGAAGAACAAGAGCAAGAGCAGCAAGATATACTTGAGCTTATCAATATACAAGTCAAGGAAACTGAAGAGGATGGACACCCAGATGAAGCCCTTGGCGCAATAGAAGATGAGGAAGACTTGCACCTACTCAAGCAAGACAGAGATGAGACTATGCGCATACCTCCTCCCTCTGATCCCAACAACACTTCCTGTACACCCGCTGGGCCTCACACGATGCAGGAATACACAGAAGAGGATGAGAAAATTGCATACCAAGGCACCATCCTTGATGATGTCAGGACTGCACAAGCATACATTGATCTCCTCAAGAGCGCGCACATCAACAATGCTGACTACCACACACTCTCCAACTCTGCTTGTTACCGGCTCTGTAACCCTCCCTGCACCATTGTTGATCTCAAGGATGATCAAGACAAACACATGTCAATTGATTACAGACTCAGGAACTGGATGCCAGAAGACTACCGTGCTAGCTGTAGAATTGCTGAACGTAAGCTGACAGGTCTTCAAACCAATAGCTACCACAACATGGTGAAGGAGATTGAGAAGATCACAGGTGTTGATGGTATGGTGGACAACATGTGCATCAATACATGCACGGCATACACGGCCCACTTCTCCATCTTGAAAAGTGCATTATAATCTCATGAATTCTCTGATATTACCTTTGCTCATAGCATCATCAGTTGCCCCAAATGTCATGAACCCCAATACCACGATTGGAGGAAGACTCGAGGCAAAAAAAAAATTACTCGGTGTATGCTCACTATGATGGCTATAGGACAGACGATACAGGCCATGAAACAGCATCCAGACATGGCTGAAAAACTCCTTTACCGTGCACGAGCTACCAAGGAGCTTTTTTGACCTTAGAACTGTGACAAGCTCAATATTTTTGACTACTATATCAAGGGCAAGCTATAATTACATGTAGTTGCTGAGGGACACATCAAAGCTGCCAACACTGTACTCATGCTATCCACAGATGGTGCTCAGCTATATGAGTCCAAGCAGTCAGACTGCTGGATCTATGTATGGGTTATATTCAATCTCTCCCTGGGTGAGCAGTACAAAAAACAATACGTTCTCCCTGGTGCTGTCATCCCAAGGACTTAACAAGCCCAAAAACCTTGAGTTGTTTTTATTCCCTGGCCTTTACCATCTTGCAGCCATCCAGAATAACGGTCTCCATGTTTTTGACAGCTTTACGTGCAAGGTCAAAGATGATTACCCATTCCTCTTCACAGAGACTGTGGATGGCCCTGGATTAGCTTTCATGATGGGCCTTGTTAGCCATCATGGCAAGCTTGGCTGTCAAACATACTGTGGCTTTCCTGGCTGTCATATACCCCACAAACCTCACTACTCCCTGGCATTGGGGCAGCCAACTAAGCCTGAGCTCTATAGCAAACAGGGCTGTGATCACCCCAACATCTTAGCCCACAAACTGCTGCGTGCAGGTGCTGGTGACTACAGTGGCAACCTCACTCACATACTTGCATGCAAGACTCTCGGCCAATATTGGGAAGTCCACAGAGAAACAGGTATCTCACGTCCATTAATCTTCCTTGGCCTGTCCAATGACCATACAATCCCTGTACCCCAGTCACTTGGCTGTGACATAATGCATGTCACAGATATCAATGTGGGTGATGAGCTTATCCCGCTCTGGCCTGGAACTTTCCATCATAAGCAGCAAGACATGGAGCACTGGCATTGGACACACCTCAGGTCAAAATGTGTATAGAAGAAACATGGCAAGATTATTTGCACAATAGCAACCCACCTCCCAGGTTCATTTGACTGACCTCCCAGAAATCCAGCAGAGAAAATCAACAGTGGGTACAAGGCCTGGGAATGGCTATTATACCTGTACAGTGTGTGTCCAGCGGTACTGTATGGCAAGTGCTGTTTCTATTATGTACTGTAAATGCATCAACTCACAACCTTTTCAGGTGTTCTTAACAACCAGTACTGGTTGAACTTCTGTGAACTCGTGTGTGGTGTCCACCTGCTGACACGGCATTCAATCACTTTGGAGCAAGTACAAGAGGCCAGTCAACAGTTAAATTGTTTGCAACCACCTTCGAGGCTCTGTACGTCAAACAAAACACATATTGGTTGCATTTTGTACAACCATGGATACATGCACTTCTCCACATGCCTCACGAGGTTATTCAAAAGGGTCCGCCAGTCTGCTGTCAATATACCCAGGGAGAACCGGGACATTTGAGCTATGCTTGACTAGGGATACCGTGTCCCAAAGATGCTAACAAAGGTACAAAAATATGTGGAGATGGACCAGAGGTGAACCAGAGATAGCAAAGATAAAGGAGATGCACATAGTAGCAAGGAGAAGTTGCTAAGTATGGCGGAGTAAGATGGAGATGTCAAGTTGATGTCAAGTCAACTTGGAGTATGAGTTGGATAGAGATGACAAACACGAAAGAATGTCAAAGGCCACAGGAATGTTGGGGCAGGGGTAATTCAATATTCATACTATCAAATACAAGTCAAATGCTACCACTATTTATATTGTAAGTCTGGATCTTTGGATAAGCTCCAGATAACTACTGGAGTAAGTGTGGCCATTGTTTATCAGTCGAAGTTCTTGTCTCTTGGTCGATTGTTCCCCCTCATCGTTCACCCTTGTGTGAAAGAGGGCTCCATCCCGCTGTCTCCTGCAGCTTGGGATGTCGATCCTACTTCTCCTGACCGCTGGGTGGATTCGCAGTCCAAGATCCTTGGTTCTATGGCCAATGTCTACAAGTTTCTTCCCAATGACCCTTCTCGTGATTTCATCGAGCAGGATCCAGAATTGGGGACTGAGGTGAGTACCAGCCTTCTTCGGGCAGTCGCTACTATCAACATATCACTCAATTATGGTCAACAGTTTATTAAAGGTGTCAATCTAGCGCGTCGTGGATACATGGGCGAGCTGCAGAAATATAGAACTACCATCTTCTCTGGTCCGCTGACAGCCGAAAGGAAGCAGCGTCTGCTTAAGAGGTCAGTTAAGTCGAAGAAATACAGCCGACATGCACCAGTTCTCTACCCAGACCCCGATGCTCCTCACGAACCGGATTTCCTCAAGTCGATGCCTGTTGTTGAGGTGAATTCATTTTCTGTTTTATGTTGCTATTGTCTGGCTGATTAATTTTGAATTAATAGACACTGATTATTAAGCTCTTTGGCTTCAGCAGTTTGAGTATTCACTGTAAACCTAGGCCGAAAGGCAAATCTAAAGGCACCAGCATCACCAAGATCACCCCGGAAATGGTCGCCACAGGAGCAATCAATGTAAGTCTATTGCTCATCCAGTATACATGCGATCTGACTGTGTCAAAGGTTCGATACCTGCTCACTGATGACCCGGAGTATGTCACTCCTGGTGCACCCTCTGGCATACTGTATGCTAGCGACAGGGATGACCTGCTGAAGCTTTTATATACAGCAGACCCGAAGTGGGGGGATGAGGTTATGGCATTTTATAATCATCAAATTGTAGGTATTCCTCCGAAATCTGCTAGCTCGGATGCAGATAAGCAAGGAGGGACCACTGCTGAAGAAGAGGACAAGGAGGTGGCATTCTTAGCCGGTCTCAACCAGCACTACAGCGAGGCTGATGCATCTTCTCCTCCTGATCCGTCTGCTGCTGATCCTGTGGAAATGAATGCCCTCGCACAACAGGTTGGAGCACTCGGGCTATCTCCTCACATCAACCCAGATCAAGAACCTGGCAACGTTGCAGTTACCCCTGCACAAGGTCTTTCTACTGCATCTTCTCAACGTACTGGTCAGCAGCACAAGTTCGTCACTTCTCTGAAATCTATCTCGGCTGCAGCTGCAGCTCGAGTGGCAAATGCTCCTCTGGTAAGCTCAGCTTCTGATTTGAGGATAGCACTTGCTCACTTCTCCCCTCAGCGCTCCAAGTCGGGTGATCAGACTGATGATGCTACTGACTCGGATAGTGGAGAAACTATGGAGGCTACCATCCATGTACCCCAGGTGAAAGGGAGAACACTTAGACAAGCTCCTGCTCACGCAGAAATTGATTCTGCTACTCCAGTTTCTCAGTTGCGGTCGCTATCTCATGTGAGTGTTACTATCACACTCGATTACAGTGGGCTCAAGCTAAATATTACTAGGGCTTGCTCAGCGCGAACGCGGTGGCTCAGGCACAAGCAGCGCGAGGAAAAGGTGCGGGAGTTGCTCCTAAGACTCCAAGGCAAGCCATTCGCTCGGGTCGTGACAATTAGCTATTAGTTAGTTATCCTACTATTGTATAGAACGCCATCATGAAATTCTACGCCATTAATTGTTTGCCAATCAAAAAACCACAGTAAATTGCATTTGCTATCACAAAGTGGTGACTACAGTCTCTGACGAGGTTCACATACCCAGCCTATTGCCTACATTGCAAGCGCATCCTGGTATACTCAATCAAAACACGCTCACATATATACACTCATGCACGGGCAGGCCCCTTCTTCCCTCTTCTCCAGACCTTAGTGTTCCCTCCATCTTCAATGCCCTTATAGCGTGAGGGTTTCAAACTCCGATCAGGCCGCTATATCTGTCAATTTTTGAAGTCCGCCCCACCTATCCTTGACTTCTAACTTCAACATCCAATGTGTCACAACGATGTCGTCACGCGCTCCCCTCATGTTCCCATTCGCATCCGGCTTTCCTTCCTTCCTCACCACCACCTAGTACTCCTCAATGCCACTCTGCTGGGTTTACCAACCTTGACCGTCTGATTGCTCAGGTCATTTCGTCTATCACAGTGTCTCTACATTTTGATGGTTCCTTGAATGTTGATCTCAACAAGCTCCAAACCAACTCGATTCTGTAAGCCTGTATTGTTTACATCATGCCCGCTGTTTACTGAGTTTGGACTTGCTTCCCCCACATTCACTTCCCTCTCGCTATTTTTGCTCTCATCATCTCTGCTGAGAAGATAGATATAGATAGATAGATAGATATATTCTCAGTTTTTCGTCCTCTGGGGCTTGGCCCTATGGTAGACAATACATGTGCGTAGAGTAGTTGGTAGCTAGTCTTGTATGGGTGGGTGCATTAGTTGTAATGTAAGGAACCTCATTCAGGTGCGCACCAGGGGGCAAGGGCTCAGGGGTTGCTGGTGTGGCAAATCGTAGGGAACTAGTGTATGGGACCTGGTAACGTGTGGAGCGGTCACTGAGAAGACCTACCATGAACAAAACTGTCGCCGACATGACCTTCTCTTGCTTTGCGACCGGTAACCAGATGGTCAAGTGTGACCCTAGGGAGGGCAAGTATGGTATGTGTTCGTTTCACTGCTCTTCATCCAGTTCATTTGTTACTTAGTAACTTCCCTCGCGCTCTTTCTCTGCAGTCCCCTGTTCAGTGCTCCCAACATCTCATTGGCTTCCACCCCCTGGTTTGTCCACCAGTACACAGCTATCCTGTTTCCTCCTTGTGCATGTAAGTCCCCATTGAAGTGTATGTTCAAGTCGACGTGCTCATCCAAATCCTCTAGTAATAATCCCCACTTCCACATTTATACTTCTGTCCTATACTCCTCATTCCCACTGTCCTGACTTCCGGTAGCTTCTACGTAGTTGAAGGATACCGCTCAACACTGTACTCATAGTAGCTTCGAATATATTGATTATTGGGTTATACTACATGGCGTGAAAGCAAGAGTGGTTGAAATTGGGAAATATGGTGTATGGACGGGCGGGGCAAACGTCCAATTATGTGCGGTGAGTGTCTTGACGTGTCAAGACGCATCTACACGGTCTAAAACATCTGGATGCATCTGGACAGTTCGGTTGGCGTTAAGACACATCCGAACCATCTGGCTAGCATCTGGGCCACGGGCGAAGCATCAGAATCAGTTACGTGCCGTCTGGATGGCATCTTGACAACCGTGGCTACAATCGTGATGATTCCGCTACCCGTTTTGACGCGTTGCCAATGCGGCAAGCGTCAAAACCCATCCAGACCCGTCAGCATGCCCCTGAGAACTTTCCGACATCAGTTGTATCACAGTAGGGCCTTCTAATGTCCAAAGCCTGTGAACCAACAGCAGCAGCAGGCGCAAAGGCCCCTCACCAAATACTGCCACAACTTGTCCCTCTGTTGACCCCTCAGCTGCTTGCTTGGCCCCCTAGTTGACCTTGTATTCTGTTTTCTGCCCACTTACAAACATGGAGAATACAGATACCTGCATATGCAGGCAACAGTTTGGATCTGACCAGGCATACTCAAAACATACAAACTGCTGCAAGGTGCACCTACAGCATTCAGTACACATTCATTGGCAAAGTGGATCAATAGTCCCCAGATTTCCCCTGCAAACATCCTCATTTTGCCCATCTACAGCCTCTGCTCCTTTGTTCTGTTTACAGCAGACATTGTGAATGTTCTTCAGGATCTCAGGCTTGCTTGGTGCATCCCATCAACATTTGGAAAGAGGCAACACCACTGTCAAGCAGTGATATGCTGGATACAGAGCAGGTGAGATTATTAGTTCTTTACCGTGTTTTCTGATGTTTCAACACTGACAATACTTAGGCATGACTTGTTAGATTATCTGTCTGCAAATACTGAGGATATTGCCATGTATGATGGGAAAATGACTAATACTTGTATGCAGCTGCATGCTCTAAATCAATGTACAGTGCCACCCTGTTCTCTGCCTGATGTACTGGCCACCTCTCCACTGTCCCCTGATAACCTAGATGCATCCCTAGCATGCAATCCTCCTGAGACTGAAATTTTTTTTGCTTCATCATCAGCCTTGCAGTCTGCTCCACCACTTGACCTTGGTAAATCCATTTAAAAACCTTCTCACTGAATGTGAGAGATAATTGAAATTGTGCCCTTGCTTGGTGTGCCTGGTGTCAACCACACTTCTGCTGCCCTTGTTGTTAACAAAGCTCAGCTTGTCACTGACAGTCAGATCCTTGAATGTTACATTGTTATGTTCACCCGCTATTAAAAAATCATTGATGTTGCTGTAGAGTGTTTCAACATCTCCAATCCAAACAGGGAGCTGACCAAGGTGTAAGCAGTTATTATGTCCCTATAGCTGATGATGTACCTCACTTCCTTTGCTAGTAAAAACAATGCTATTAAGTTGTACAGCCTCATTTTTGCAACAGCTCTGAGCACAAGACAGCAGCTTGAGCATGGCAGTGCAGAAGCATCCAATCAAGTTACTCAAGCGGTAAGTGGTTGGTTATGTTTATTACCTAGTACACATACACGTCTTGCAATACTGCAGCTTACTGAAGACCATCGCAATGCACGTGGCAGTGACATCAGAGGCATCAAAGACAAAATTGCCCTGTGGTACTCCTTTGAAGGCATGAACCTGGCTGCCTTCACAAATGTGTATCACACCCTTGGATTCCAGTCTGCAGTGACTGCAGCACTTCTCTGCCCCATCACGTATGACTGGAACAACCCCAAGTATGTGTATGCTTCTCTTGCTCCCCCAGCATCCACTCAATTTGTTTTCCAGTGTGCAGCAGGGCCTCCACAATGGGACCATACAAGTCACTGCACGTGACTTGTGTTCCTTCCTTTGGAAAAACAAAAGGAAGTCCAGTGAGCCAGACTTGGACCTCTATGAAGGTTTTTGTGAAGCGAGCTGCTAATCAAGGCAAGTGCTATGTTCAAATCTGATATAGACCTGGGGTGCTCATTTTTCTTTGAAATACATGCTTATTTGCACCTGTTCATATCCCCTAGCACTGCTATTGGGGGTCAAGGGGACTCAAACACGTGCCAGAGCAATGCAGCTCTGCACAACATCAGGACATTTAGCTGGGTGTCTGTGGCCTATGTTACTACCCTGGTAAGTTCTTGTTACACATGCTAGGTGAACCCTTTCTGATAATACTGGAGGTCCATTTTGTCCTCTTATCAATCAATAAGAGGGGCAAGCAAAGCTCTGGCTCTGCCCATGAACTCTCCTATAACCCAATCTTGCATGTCATCAATGGCAATGGTATTGATGTTATCTGGCACAATATGTTCTGTGAATGGTGGCAGCGGTATATGTAATTTTTGTGCCATAATCATTGCCTTGTGCTAAGTTGAATCACAGTTGTATCTTTGGTAACAACAATGTCAACAACAAAAAGTACATGTCTGCCACTGCCCTCATGCTCTGCATGGCTTAGGAGTGGTGCTGGGCCTGTGCTAGCAGCACGTATGTCATGACATGCAATCCATGTAAACTATGTCAATTATAACTTCATTGTAACTGTAGTGCACAGCCAGTATAATTAGAATATTAGTTTCATGTCCCTGTATATTATGCATGTGTTAAGCAAGATGCATCAATGATAAAAATCTTATAATGTGTCCTCAATCTTGTAGTCTTTTCATAATGTTGTGTCCCAATCTATGGTGACTGTCTACTGACTTTAACTATCATACCCGCTTGCAACCATGCTGTCCCGCAAAGGGTTATTGCAACTACTTTTGGAAGTTACAATGAAATGATAACCCCTCCAAATCAGCAAAGGAAATTGCTGATGAGAATGCAGCAGGCAAGAGCAATGCAAATAATAGCAAACCATAGCAAATCTTAGCACTAGGAGTTGCCAAGAAACATAAGCAAGAGGCCCAAGAAAGCTGTGATTTGCTGGTTGGCCAAAACACTTGTTTGAGAATGGGAGTGGGTGTTGGTAGGCTCTCATGGGCACCTATGCATTCCTCTGGTCCTTTGTGTACTTACAATAGTGCTTTTTGACTTCCTGTAATACAGTCAGCTTGTGTTATAATGGGCAAAAACCAGTAAAAACATGCCCCCTGGAGGTTTGCAGGAAAGCCTCCCAAGCATCATTAAACTTTTGCTTGGTACCCATTCCATCATGGTCTAGCCACCAGTTTTCAAGGCACCACATATGCCTATAAACCAATGATAAACTGTGCACTGGAACAATAAAATAAGCTCACCTTGCATTGTCTATCTCTGGCTTTGGGTAGGGTTTGGGCTCCAGACCAGGCTTTCACTTTCCTGTCTTTGGGTTGGTGGCCTTAGTCAATCTCTTGGCTGATGTGGAATTGGTCTTGTTGCTGTGCTGAGAGACCATGGAATTGATAGAGGGAGAGTCAGAGCGAGGGGACTTGGCAGGCAGGGTGGGTGTAGCCTTGGACATGGGCTTTGTTGCGGAAGGTATGGACTCAAACACAGGTTCAGGAGTGGTGTTGCACACAGAATACCTGTGCTCAGGTGTGGGAATGGATGAAGGTGTGGGCTCAATGGGCTTGAGTGTGGGCTCAGCAGCCTTGAGCAGGTGAGCATTTGCAGACTTGGGAGCAGTGTCAGATATGGGGTTGGACATGGGCTTGGCTACAGGTGCAGGAGTGAGTTCAGTGAGATTGGGTGCAGCATCAAATGCAGGCTGGGAGGTGGTGTCAGACATGGGCTTGGCCTTTGGCTTGGGCTTGGGCCTGGGTCTGGGCATGGACTTGGATGCAGAGTCAGCCAGGGATGGGGTCAACACTAGTCTTCTCAAGGTAAAAAGCAAGATGTACAGCAGCATACAAGTCTAGCTCTTTTTCCAAGTTGGCAGAACCAGAAGCCAAAGATGTCAAAGTGTTGCAGAATTGCATGATCTGAAGCAAATCTCTGCAAAGTGCATATAGTTAGCATAACAACATGTGATCAGGTACTCACTTGTATGCATCGCATTTAGCACCAAGACAGGCACATTGCCACTTCAATGCCATATTCTTGGCTTTGAGCTGCTTTACCATTTGTTGCAATTTTCTTACACTGCTGTTGGATTCATCACTAGATAACTCTGACATATCATCCTGATGCACACAGTGCTGAACACATTAACAGGAGACAACTAGAAAAAGCTCACCAGATCACTCTCCTCCACCTGCTCCCTCTTTCCTTTTTTTGGTTAGACCTGATTTCAACAATGTCTCAACATTGTTGCTGCTGGGTCCATTGTCAGACATGAGAGAGGCCTGTCTTTTGTCCCTCCATCCTCTGCAAGTGCAAGTGGTCTCCCTCCTTTTTTGACAATTGCCAAAAAGGCCTGGGTAACAACAAGAGCATTCCCATACTGGTAAGCCCATTTAATCACCATAATACGATAGCTACTCTAGCACTGCCCTGTCAAACAACTGCAAGTACTTAGTGCTAGCAAACACAAGCACTGCAAGGTCAGGGGTTGCTTAATGTATGCAGAGAAAAACTCGGAAGGCATGGAGGAGGAGGATGAAGAGGATGAGGAGGAAGAAAAGGAAGGGGACAAGGACAATGACACACAGGTATGACATATCATTCTATTTCCATTTGTACTAAATTAAGCCATTCCGCAGGTTCTTGATATGCTTCCCACCCCCAGAGACCTGGTGGGGGAAGCAACAGTTGCTCATTATGCCTCTTGTGTGCACACCATAACCAAGTAGACACCTGCATTACATGTACACTAAACAAACATAACAAGGTAGCTAGATTCCAATCTTATATGCAGTTTCACCCTAAGTTGTGAATACATGAATATTACCACACTGCAAAACAACTACACTGGCTGCACTAAAAAAGTTTGAATTCATTTGTATTATTAACACTGTTGTACACACCTTTGTACATAAACAGGTCTAAGAGAATGCAGGCAAGTGGGCATGCCTGTGCACGTGGGTGCAGCTCTGCAGTGGGTGGCCTTGCCTTTATGCCCACAACCAACTTGCGGAGAAAACATGTTGACTACAGTGCATGTCCACAGAGCCAGCTGCAAGTGGCAAAAGTGCACTGTGCAGAGCATTTGCCTGGGAAGGCAGGCAGGCAGGGTTGCAGAACAGGACACCTGCACCCACTTCCAGAAGCATGATGGTAGAAGGCAAGAAGGTGGGGATTTCAATAATTCACCCATGCAGGATGACAGCTTGCATCACAACCATCACATGTAACTTCACCTATATGCAAGCAGACCACAGGTGTTGGGGCCAAGCCAAGGCAGACTCAACTTACACCACATGCTCACTTGCTCCTGCTCCTGCTCCTGCTCCTGCTCTTCTTGCTGTCACAATAACTGAGCAATGTGCTTGACATGCCAACAGGCATTGCTGATGTTATGTCACAGCCAGTCCATGCATGCCAGCCCAAACCACCTCAGGGGAAACAACAAAGTTCACAAGAGGCTGGTGTTCTATGTCTTGCCTAATTAGATGTGTCAAGCCCTTGTCAAATATTTCAGGTTATTGTTGGTTCACTGTCAGGCCCATAGTTTGATCACAATTTTTAAAACCTGATGTAATAAATACTGCACAATACTATTATCTACAATAACAGGAACACTACATAATCAGCCTATATCTTCCCTTTGTCATAAATCTGACCTTCACTGCCTTGTGCTAATCTCATACCCTCCAATACCTTTCTGTAACTCTCTTGTATATGCTTGGAACATGTGAGAGTTAAAGCAAGATAACGGGCTCTATTGTTAACTGTAGTCCTATGACACATTGTTGGTTTGAATCCAAGCACAGTTCCTCTGGCCTCTTTAACCACAATGTGTAGGCCTTTTTTAATAAAATTACCTCCTCTACCCCTCAAGTCTGGTGGTGTCTGTGTTGGATTGACAATGCAGTGCACATACCAGGATATTGCAAAATCACAAAAAGCTCTGTTGGAGTGAGCAGGCCTAGCAAACTAAGTGTCAGCTGTGTAAGTAATTGCCTAGTACTGCAAAGCACACACCACATACTGTTTGCAATAGCCCTCAGCAGAATGGTGTTGCTGAACATGCCAATGGGGTGCTCTCTGAGCGCTCACTGCTCTCCTGGCCGAGTCTGGCCTGCCCAAGTTGTTCTGGGGGGAGTGTCTGGCTGCTCTGGTGCATGTGTGGAACCGCTTGCCCACTGAGGCTGTCCCAGAGGGCACGCCCTACCAGCTATGGCATGGGTGTAAGCTTGACGTCTCCCACCTCCGAGTCTGGGGTTGCACTGCCTATGTGCATGTGCAGAGGGATAAGCGTCGCTCTCTGGGCTCCCATGTGGAAAAGTGCGTCTTACTTGGCTATCCTGAGGGCTACAAGGGCTGGAAGTTCTACAACCCCACCACCAAGCGCACTGTCATCTCAGAGCGTGCTGACTTCGATGAGCGCTACTTCCCTGGCCTCTCCAGGCCTAGGAGCGACCCCCTGTGGGTGTCTATGTTCCTGATGAGCTTGATGAGCCATTGGGCCATGGGGGGGAGAATGGTGCTCCACCTGCGCCGCCTGTGCCTCAGGAGCGTCCCCAGGACGTCCCAGGTGCTCACAACCGTGCCCCAACGCCTCCTCCACCCCCTTCGCGTTCTCCTTCACCTCCTGGTGATGCTGATGAGGGCCAAGCCCCTCCAGATCCCCAGTACTCCTCCTCGCCGTGCTCACTCAGTCCCTGCGCCTCAAGCCCCTACACGTCGTTCTGCCAGGGATAGGACTGCTACCACTCAGTGGTGGAAGCTGGACAAGCCTCGCTTGTACCCTGCAGAGCCTGCACCTGCTGGGCCCGCTGAACCGCTTGTCCCTGTGGATGAGCAGGTGGAGGTGGTCCCAGACAGTGAGGAAGAGGACGAGGATGCTGAAGATGCGGACACTGCACTAGCTGTGCATGGGGAGGCCTATGGCAGGGAACTGGTGCTCCAGGGTGATTCCTACAAGGAGCCCAGGACCTATGCTGAGGCTGTTGCTCAGGATTCCCTCTGGTATGACGCCTGTGTGGACGAGATGGGCGCTCACTGGACCAATGGGACCTGGGAGGTGGTGACTCTCCCTCCTGGGGAGAAGGCTATAGGAAGTCGGTGGTGTTTAAGCTGAAGCGAAATGCTGATGGGTCCATAGAGCGTCACAAGGCTTGAGTGGTTGCCCAAGGCTTCTCCCAGCATCCTGGCTTCGACTACCTCGAGGTCTTTGCTCCCACTGTCCGCCTCTCCACCATTCGCTTCATCCTGTCCCTTGCTGCCATCCATGACCTTCACCTTCGCTCTGTCGACATCTCCAACGCGTACTTGCAAGGGGACATGGATGTCACGCTCTATATGCGTCAGCCAGAGGGCTTTCGGTGGCAAGGACCAGGTATGCCTGCTGAAGCGTCCTCTCTATGGGACCAAGCAGGGTGGTCGCATGTGGAACAGGAAGCTGCATGCTGCTCTGCTCGAGATGGGCTTCAAGCGCACCTACTCTGACAGTGCACTCTATGTGTTCACCAGGGGAGGTGTGCAGGTGCTGATCCCAGTGTTTGTGGATGACATGATGCTCGCCTCGTCGTCTGAAGCAGAGCTGGATTGCGTTGCCAAGCTGTCTCAACACTTCAAGCTTAGGGATCTTGGCCCCACCACTCAGCTACTAGGCATCAAGATTGACAGGGACCGCTCTCAGCGCACTATTGCTCTCTCCCAGCGTCACTACACTCAGGATGTGCTCGATCGCTTCGGTATGGGCTCCTGCAATGCTGTCCAGACGCCTATGGAGCCTGGTCTTCATCTCAGCAAGGAGTTTGAGCCCAGGAGCGCTGAAGATGTCGCTTTCATGCGCTTGTGCCCTATTCGCCCTAGCAGTGATCTCCAGACACCTCCAATCCACCTCCCATACCCTACAGTCCTCTTACAATGCACTCCATACTCCTACGGAGCTCC